AATTTAATCTTTAAACTTTTAACATCTTAAATATTGGTCTCTCTATTTTAAAAACAAAATTATAAAGATTAAAGATATTTTAAACTTTTAATATTTATAATATTTATAAAGATTAAAAGGGTTTAATAATTTAAAATATTAGTAATAAATTTTAAAATATTTTGAATCTGTAAAATTTATTTTTAAAATATATGATTAATATTTAAGAGATTAAAACTTTAGGGATTAAATTATAAAAGGCAAAGTTCAGAAATTGATCTACACCTGAGTTAAAATTTTAGGGATTGACTTACAACTACGTCAAAATTATAATGACCAAATGATTAATTTTTTTAAAATTAATTACATAATTTTATAATTCAAAATTAATTTTAAAAAAAGAACATGTTGGAAATAGGACTTCTGCGATAATAGTCTTTCAAAAAGTTGCAAAAAAATATACTGAAATGCAAAACCAAATAAATAAATATCATATTCTCTAATTATGATGGGGTGAAGTAAGACAGTGTTCATAAAAAGTTGATAAAAAATAAAAAAAAAAGTATTGGATATAATTTCCCTTTCTCTGTTTTGGCCAAAAGCATTAAATCAAAATTTTTATAAACTTCAAAATTTTTTTTATTTTGAAAAATTAATATTTTATTAATGATTAACTTTCATGGATTAACATATTAAACTATAAGAACTGAATTTAAATAAAATAAATTGTGAGAACATAATTTAAAACTCAAGAAATAATAAGGACATGAAGGTTAATTTTTCCTAAAAATTATATGAAATTTGAAAGAGAAACATATGGCTCTATGGAAAAATTCAATCATAAGAAAATTCAACAAGATCATGGAAAAAATCTTTTTTTTTTTTTAAACTTACGGGCATTCTCATGTTAAAAGTAATATTGTCTAAGGTATTGATTGGACACTCAATGTAGGTAGGTCCTTCAACAAAAATTTAAACATTAATTTATTATGTTGTGATAGACTAATTGATGTGAAATGAAAAAGGAAGAAGAAATAGAAAGAAAAGAATGAAGAGGGGAGGAGAAAGAAGGAGAGAAGATTAAAACTATCAAAAACTCTTATTCAATAATGTCTATATGTTGAATATAAAGAAAAGATTAGCTCTAGTTATAGAGCTCTAAAATAATAATAATATAATTTAAATTTAAATCTCAAATCTTAAATTTGAATATAATTTTAAAGATATTAATATCCAAGATAACAATAAAATAAATAATTAAAGTTAATCTAATGAATCAATATCCTTATTTAAATATCTCTATTAAATAATTTTAATATTTTAAATTAAATTTAATTATATTTTGTCCTCTATTACACCATTAATCCTTCGACAAAATCCAATTCTCATTGGTTATGAAAAGAAATTTTAATAAGACTGATATGTGTAACAATAGCTAGATTTGTATGTTCATGTTTTGCATTATGACGGGTGGTTTGGTTCAATTTAGTGGACTTTTTATGAGGAGTGAACTTGCACGAAATTAACTTCTCCATGACCGCGGAAATGATTGTATATTTTATTTTATGACAAGTCTAATCAATTGTTAAATAAATATAATATTTCTAATGCTGAAAACTATTAAAAAAACTTCAAATTTTTTTTTTAAAAAGGACCAATAAAATTTGCTAACAATAAATAACACAAATCTGATGAGTAAATAAGAATCCGACAATAACGATTCTCTAAGCTCAAAAGGACATAAATAATATTTTTTTATCGCAATAATTATAGAAACCCATAATTTTGATATTTTTAGTAATTATTATTTTAAAAAGGTTCAATTTTTTTTTAAAACTTTTGTAAATATAATTCATATTATAGGAACAAATTAAGTAAATATTTTAATATTTATTATATTTTACATTATGATTGATTTATTATATTTGTCAATGATATATTGTTGTATATTAATGATAAATTATTTATAAATTTTTAAATTTTAATAATAAACTCTTTATATATCAATATAACCAGTCATACTTTTAAATTTTTAAAAATGAAATCTATATTTTTGGGGCATAAGATTTTTTGGGGTCCTTGGCTAATTTATCTTATTTTTTTAACCTTCAACCTGTGTATGTGTAATAAGTTCCTTCAAAACAAGTAATGTGATAAGAAATTTAAAATTTGACAATAATAATAATTCTCAAAGTCGAGGACAAAAGTAAACTCTTTTTATAAAAAAAAAAAAAAAGACTCAAATTGTCTCCTATCATTCATGATAAAAATTTTAATTCTTTAGCCTCAGTCCTCAGACTTGATGGGACTGACCTGAATTCGTAATATATAGTCAATAGCTTGCCAACCATAACCATTGTTTTATTGGAAAAAGTTAGCTTGATTGTGAATGAACTTTTTATAATATATATTTTTTCAAAAAAAAATATAAAATAATTCTATGATATCTATTAGAGCGTGACACATGTAAATATTTGATGATGATTAGAATGTTGAATCTTATAACATAACATTTGCCGGAAAAAAAAAATCTTATAACATAACATTATTAAATTTGATCACTGTTATCATCTTACTTATACGATGGTTAGTCCAATTGCGTACCCTGAAAGAAGATAAGTACGAGACAATGTCAACACATTTCTTTTCAGTGAATTATTATATTATATTTTTAATTTTCCTGTACACGTGACACAGGATAAACAATAGGATTTATTGGAATCTGGCAATTGAAGTAATAAAATCCAGAAATAGATTAGCTTAAATTTAAAGCATGGGTGTCCCATTCCAAAATTCAGAAATGTCCAGACATAAAAAAGCATAGATGTAATAGCAAAACGAAGAGTGATGTTAAATGATGGAAGCCACATTTGAGAGCACATGTTTGGTAATTTATTGATTATTGATTAGAGATGTCCATCTATTAACTTTATCATAATCCATGAGCAATTTATACTGATTTTTCTACCCGATTTTACTTCAGATTTTTAGGTTTTTCTATTTATAAAAATAATTATACTTCTGATAAAACAGAATAGGAATAGACAATTTGATGCAAATCATATTTAATTTGATTTAGGATTTATTTTATGAGTTTTGATTCAGTATCTAGGGCTTAATTTATTTAATTTAGCATTTAGTTTTATTCATTTTAAATAAAATAAGATATCTAGGTAAATTCAGATTATCTTTGTTATTTTTTAAGCATTATCAAATGAAATATGATATCTAGACTAACTAGATATCTTATTATATTTTATTAATTTTAGGTATATTTACATTATTATTTTATTATTATTTTTTAATTTTAGGACTCTATAAATAAAGTTGGAGTTTCTTTTATAAATAGTTTTGGCATGTGAACAGTAATTATACATTTTTTTCTTTCTCTTTTATTTCTTCCCATCTCCTCTTTTTTGTTTCACATCATAGTTATCTTTAAAATTGGCTAAATTTCACATTTCATTCTCTAATTTTATATAAATTTTCAATTTAATCATTTAATTTTATAAAATATCTTTCAATCATTTAACTCCAATACCATTAATTTTAAATAATTATTTTTCATGTCAGTAACTATTATTTAAAAAAAATTAAATTCAATATATCAATATTTAATAATATTTTTTAATATTTAAAAATTTAATGTAAATTTTTTTTGTGATGAAATTAACAATGTGAGAGTTAAATAATTAAAAAAATACTTTATAAATTTAAAAGATCAAAATGAAATCTTTTATTATAAGATCAAAAAACTAAATGCATGCTTTAACTTATAAATTTTATTAAAATTTCATGCTAATTATTTGTTGCACGTTTAATGTTGCAAGTGGTTGGGATTCAAAACCACTCTTATATATGTGTGATAATTTAATTAAAAAATGTTTATCCATTATTCTTAGTATTTTAGGAGAGATATTTATTTACTATTATTGAGCCTATTCATTTTACTTACTGAAAAGATACTAAATACTGCATTAAATAAAAAATAGTTTAAATTTATATTAAATAATAATAATATATTAATATTTATTAAATTTCTATTAAATGTATTATTTATTATTATTATTATCATTATTAAGTGGAAGTGTCGTGTGAAAGGAATCAACTTTAATAGAAAGGAATCAACTTTTTACTTTTTATTTCGTGGCGGTCCTTCCTATGAATGTATCCTCATTTTTTAAAAGTACTTTTCTCTGAGAAAGAAACTGCTTTGTAATGTTTATTTTAAAAAAAAAACCAACGAAAAATGGTTCTAAGCGCCAAGATGTATTTACTCTTAAAGTTTTTGATCAAATAATAAAAATATTTCTAAATTTTAAAAAAGTGAAGAACAATGTGAGAAAAAATTATAAATACTTAAACTATTTTAATCATTTACTAAGTTGAATTTTAAAATTAAAGTTGTGAATAAAAACATTTTGTTGGGCTTTGCTAATTAAAAAAAAAATAACTTTCGGATCCCATACTTTCTTCTGTTTTGTTATTGATTTACATATTTTTTTGATATTTTTAATTCATATACTTTTATTTTTTTATTATCTTAAATTCTTCTATAAATAAAATATAGAAACTTTAGAAAAACTTAAAATAATAAAAAATAAAAATACAATAATCAATAATAAAATACGAACAAAGTATAGGAATTTAAAATTATACTTTTTAAAAAAAAAGTGAGAGAAAATTATAAATACCTAAATTATTTTAATTATTTTACTATATCAGAGTTGTTAATTTCATAATCAAAGTCATAAATGACAAAAAAAATTTGTTGCATTTTGTTGATGGAAGAAAAAAGATAAAAAAAAAAGTTGTTAAAATCTAAACTATTTTAATTATTTGTTGAATTAGAACTAAAGTCATAGAAAAAACGATTTTTATTTTTTTAATTAAAAATTATTTTTATTATTTTATTAAAAATTTTAATAACATTTAAATTCTTAAAACTTGAAAATTAAGTTGTTATGTATGTATGTATATATATGTGTGTGTATATACATATGCACACACATGTGGGATGACCCTACTTCGACCGGGGAAAAAATGTTTTGCCCAAAAAAAATAAAGAAAATTGTACAACAGCCGCAGTGGCAGGTTTCAGTACATTAGTAGTTTATCCGGCGACGATGTTGCCGGACACCTCTTCATTCCACGAATTGAAAGCTTGAAGCTCTGTGGACTCCATCACTTGCCAAACTTGCACTCCTCTGTCACTGAGGCCTTTGCTGACGTGACCACCACGCTACTCCTCCTCTCTCTCCCTCTCCATGTCTACCCAGGATCAACCACTCCTTGGCTTGCGCGAGGAGGAGGCGCTGGAAACTGCCTATGATTCATCGGAGAAGATCGTGGTTGTCGGGGTTGATGACTCCGACGCCGATAATTTTGGTAAAGCGCCGCCGTTCTCATGGAAGAAGCTCTGGCTCTTCACTGGCCCTGGGTTTCTCATGAGCATCGCGTTTCTCGATCCTGGGAATTTGGAGGGTGATCTTCAGGCTGGTGCTATTGCTGGCTACTCACTTCTATGGCTCCTCATGTGGGCGACGGCTATGGGGCTTCTCGTTCAGCTCTTGTCTGCTCGCCTCGGCGTCGCCACCGGAAGGCATTTGGCTGAGCTCTGCAGGGAGGAGTACCCCACGTGGGCCAGGATGGTGCTGTGGGTTATGGCAGAGTTAGCTCTAATTGGGGCCGACATTCAAGAGGTCATTGGAAGCGCTATTGCTATTAGGATTCTAAGTAACGGATTTGTGCCGCTTTGGGCTGGGGTCGTCATCACAGCTTTTGATTGGTAATTATTCTCTGTTCTTCCTTGCACTTGCGGTATTCTCTTTTTTCACTTGGTTTTGTTGCTATTGCCTCTTTCTTTCTACTTTTAAAAACAATCGATGCTCTCGGATTAATTTTAATTGAACTTCTTCTGAGGAACTATACTCTTTGTAATTTATAATGTTTAATGTTTACGTTCTTCAAAAGTTCTACGAATTTCATGTAAAATTGCTTCCTCGTTAAGCTCTTGGAAAAGTTTGTGGATTACCTTCCTTGGCGCTTCTACAAAAAGAAAATCTCGCGTAAACTCCGGAAAGAAGAGTTAGAGGGAGACCATTGCTATTAGATCCGGAGAAGAAATTATATACGAGGACCATGACGAGTATTTTAAACGATTCATTTATTGGCTTTGCAGTTTTATTTTTCTATTTCTGGAGAACTATGGTGTGAGGAAACTGGAAGCACTTTTTGCGGTTCTCATTGGTATAATGGCACTTTCATTTGCGTGGATGTTTGGCGAAGCAAAGCCTGATGGCTTAGATATTCTTCTCGGTAACTAGAAGATTATTTATGTGATTTGGAATTTTGGATTTGTGCTGATTTTCCTCGTTACAGCAATTTCTTGGTTGTTGTTTTCTATCTCATAGAGTCTGGTTTATCTGTGTAGGCCTTTTGGTTCCAAAACTTAGCTCGAAAACGATACAGCAGGCTGTTGCTGTTGTAGGTTGCATTATCATGCCTCACAATGTGTTCTTGCACTCTGCACTTGTTCAATCGAGACAGATTGACTTAACCAAGAAAGGACGAGTTCAAGAAGCTCTTAATTATTATTCTATTGAATCCGCTGTTGCACTTGCGGTCTCTTTAGTCATTAACATATTTGTTACAACTGTGTTTGCCAAGGGTTTCTATGGTACTGAGCTAGCAAATAGCATTGGTCTTGAAAATGCGGGGCAGTATCTTCAGCAGAAGTATGGCGGCGGACTTTTCCCGATCTTATATATATGGGGTATTGGGTTATTAGCAGCCGGCCAAAGTAGCACCATTACTGGCACTTATGCCGGACAATTTATCATGGGTGGTTTTCTGAATTTAAGGTTGAAAAAATGGATGAGGGCTTTAATCACGCGAAGTTTTGCTATCATCCCAACCATAATAGTTGCACTTGTCTTTGATACCTCTGAGGACTCATTAGATGTCCTGAACGAATGGCTCAATGTTCTCCAGTCAGTTCAAATCCCTTTTGCTCTTATTCCCTTGCTTTGCTTGGTGTCAAAAGAGCAGTTGATGGGGACTTTCAGGATTGGCGTTGTCCTCAAGGTATATTGTTTTTCATCAGCATTTTGGTCACATTTGTCACCTACCAGGTGATTTATTTGCTGAAGGACTTAAAATGCCAATAATTCACTTGATTTGAAGGTTATCCGAGGGAATAATTCATTATTGATTTGATGTTTCCCTAGTTTGTTTTGTTATTAAGAGTTAGATTTGACTAAACTGAATTGGTGTTTTGGCTTTACTGTAGTCTTGAGTATTGAAAGGAGGTAGAACGGTGTCTATGGAGCTAGCATAGCCACTTTTTCTTTATTAATTATGATGAGGGTATTTTGGCGTCTAATATGCATGTAGAATTTGGGGACGTTCTGCGTTGAATATCTGTATTTTGTGGTCTCTCGAGTTTTCTTGTTCTTATGCTTATTCACTACCTTTGCCATAACTGACTCTGTGACTTCACTAGTAAATACATGAGCACACTAGTCCCTCATCTGTGATGAATTCTGGATTTCGTGTTGTCTAAAGACTGTAGCTTCTTCTTTCAAGTCTTCATAGGGTTTGATTATAAATTCAATGCTTTGATTTATTGGTAATTGTATTGTTTTTAGTTGCTTGTTCTAATTACATGGATAAAAAGTTGAGTGGTCTCTGAAATGGATACAGATTATTTCCTGGTCTGTGGCTGCTTTAGTGATAATCATTAACGGCTATCTGTTGGTGGAATTCTTCTCCTCTGAAGTGAATGGGCCAGTGATTGGCACCATAGTGTTTGCATTTACAGTCCTGTATGTTGCATTCATAATCTACCTTGCTTCACGAATGATCACCTTTTTGCCGTGGCAAAGACTTTCGCAAACCAAGACAAACACTAACGCAGAACTGACGAGTTGATTCCCAGATCAAGATCAATTGCGGGAGCCTTGAAATGTTACTGAAGGCATTTCAAGATTTATCTTGCCCTGTATTCTTTTTAGCCAAATTGATGCTTTTCTTGTGTTGTAGTAGAAGTTTATGCGGGGCAATGGCAGTGTAGATTTTTTTTTCCTTTTGGTTGCTTTAAGGATAGATACATGACATGCATTGGAGATACTTCTTGTATTGCGATAGTTATAATTGGTTGTGTAAATTATCTGAAAATTGAAGCTTGCCTTGAAAACTTACGTCATGCAAAGTTGTAGTATGTAACTCCTTCCTGCATTTTCAATTCTTGCTGGGAATTTTTAATTAGAAAGTATGCATTATAATCAAGCAAGGCTTCGTCTTTTGTTAACGATGTAAATGATTTTTCAGATATATATTCTTTGCTTAATGTTTAAGCTGATGAGTCAACAAAATATATTCTTCAAGATTGCTCGTCTTGCCAGGATTTTTTTTTTTTTTGAAAAAGGACAAAGTAGATATCTGAGGCCATTTTTTTTTTTTTTTTAAGTTCGGTGACCTTTACAATCCATGCAAGATATTTCTATTTCCTCCGTCACTTTCATTCCTCTGGTTTATTTATATCCTTTAGTGGTTGAGAATCCAAGCTTTGGCAAGGTGGAAGAGACAATTATATTAATTATATCTGGACTTGCCCAATTAATTAGTAAAGAGAAAAAGACAAAAACAAATTATTTTTTCGTTTTCCTTAATTTAGACATTTAGTGCACTATATTTAAATTTGTGATTTTAAATTTTTAAATGATTCATACTCATACAAATTTGCAAATTTTATGTTGAGAGAACCTAATTCATGGATTGTACTGAGCAATTATAAACTGATTTGTACAAGATGTAGTTTCTAAGAGGCTTCTGATTTTTTTTCTTTTAAATATCTAGCTTGAATAATACATGTACGGATGTGAAAATGTAAATCTATTTCTCGTGATTCTTTTAATTATTTTACATTAAAATTAAGATTAAGACTGAAAGTAAGAGTATATTTAAAATTACTTTTCTTTTCCCCAAAAAATACAGTGCATTCCACTAGTTTGGATAGAGTTGGGTTTGCTCCTCCCATCTTTTGCTCCGTTGCAAAGAGGAGGATATATGGACCATCCAGATTAATGTAAATGGTTTAAGTTTAATATTTTTATTTTTATTTCATATTTGTTAAAATAAAATATTTATGAAAGTTATAAAATTTTTTAATAAATCTCACCACTAATATGGATACTTTATATTTGTATTACGAAATAAATATCATAAAAAACTTTAATATTAAATCCACACTATTCATAATATATATGGATGATTAATATATAAAAATTATAAAAAAATTTTATATTAAATTAAAAATTTCAAATTAAATTTTTACTATTTAGATTGATAATAAACATATTTATTAAATTTTTTATAAATTTTTATTTTGATAATATAAATGTAAACTATTTAGATTAGTGATCAGATTTGTTAATTTTTTTATAATTTTTATAAATAATTTATTTTAATAAATATGCAATAAAAATAAAAAATAAAATATTAAATCTGGACCATCCAGATTAATCTAGATGGTCCAGATGACACACGTACATACATCCTCAAGGCAAATAATGAATTTTTTGGACCAACAAATATTCATAATATATATGGATGATCAATTTATAAAATTATAAAAAATTTTAATATTAAATTAAACTATTCAGATTAAATTTTTATTGTTTAGAGTGATAATAAACAGATTTATTAAATTTTTTAAAAATTTTTATTTTGACAATATAAATGTAAACTGTTTAGATCTCAAAGACATTGAATAAAAATTGAAAATAATATCCTAAGTAGTTAGACTAAGAAAAAGTTTGATCAATGCTCATAATTAATGAATATTCGCTTTTGATATCAATTACAGGAAACCATCCACTAAAAGATTAACTTTTCACTTGCCCAACTAACAAAATGTCATATTTGATGATGATGATGAACTATTAGATTTAGTTGTTAATCACAATACAGGAAAGACTACAATGCTTGAGGCATGATTTAATGCTAATGATGATAAGGATGATGATGAGGCTAAGGGCTTAACACATCCTGAATTCTCAACTAAATTTGTTTATAAGAAAGATTTATGTGAGTGGCAATCTAGGAAGTAGGGTTTCTCAATTGAAAGATTATAATATACCCCTCCAGGTAGTGGTGAATTGTATTATTTGCATACCTTACTAACTATCGTGAAAGGCTGTACTTCATATGAGAGTATATGCACCATTGATAGAGTCGTCTACTTTACTTTTAGATATGCCTGTTATGCACTAAGATTATTAGACAATGATAAAGAATATATTGATGGCATTATAGAAGCAAGCTAATGGGCATCTGAACAATTTCTAAGAAGGCTGTTATGCACTGCTCTTGTCTGTAATTCTTTCTCTCGAGCAGAGGTCGTATGGGATAGTACATGGGTTTTCTTATTAGATGATATTGTGTACAAGCAAAGAAATATTACTGGACACCATGGCATGTAGTAATTACATTTGCATTCTTTAATTTTTTTTCTACAATCTAATAATATTAATAGAGTTTATATAAATTATCGTACAATATTGCTGATGTAACAACATTATTTTCACAGGATTACAGTTAGATGATGTTGATTTATGCAACTTTACATTAATTGAGATTGAGAAAATATTTCAATCTAATGGGAAAAGTCTCACAGATTATGAGCCTATGCCTTTACTTGACATGTCAAGCTCGGATTGAGAATAGGCTAAAAAGAAACGAACTAAATTATGATAGGGTTACATTGTCTACTGAATTGGCAAGGTTGCTGCAGACGCTAACACTTGAGCAAAAGATAATTTATGATAAAATCATCAGTGCTATTGCATCTAACAAAGGAGGAGTTTTTTTCCTCTATGGATATGGTGGTACTGGAAAGACGTATATTTGGAAGACATTGTCTGCTTCATTAAGATCTAGAGATAAAATTGTTCTTAATGTAGCATCAAGCGGGATAGCTTCTTTATTGCTTTCAAGAGGACGAATAGGTCACTTAAAATTCTATATTTGTGATAGAAGACACTATATATAGCATAAAATAAGGAATTAACTTAGTTGAATTATTAGTTCACACGTCATTAATTATATGGGATGAGGCTTCAATGGCATATAAGTTTTGTTTTGAAACTCTTGATAAATACTTAAAAGATATTTTAAAGTTTAGTAACCCATTGGTTGCAATTTTTCATTTAGAGGAAAAGTTGTCGTGTTTGGCGGAAACTTTAGGCAAATCATTCCTGTTATTCTAGGTGGATCCAGAGAAGAGATTGATTTTGCTACTATTAACTCTTCATACATATGGGATAATTGTTAACTTCTTACACTAACAAGAAACATGAGACTTATGGCAACAAATAATAAGGCATCTAATAATTATATTCAAGATTTTACTAATTAGATTATCTTAATTGGTAATGAGACTGTTGCTGGAGTTAACAAAGGATTCGTGGACATTAAGATTCCAACTAATTTGTTATTGGATGATTTAAAAAATTTAATAAAGTTTATTATTGATTCAACTTTCCCAAATTTCCTTAACAATGTCAATAATTTTCATATTTTAGAGATAGAGCTATCTTAGCCCTTACATTGGTTGTGGTTAAAAAAGTAAACAAGTACATGTTATCCATGATTTCTGAAGAGGAAGTTGTATACTTGAGTTTTGATAGTGTTGTAAAAGATGATGGAGACATAAATTAACTCAATGATTTGCACTTTATAGATTTTCTAAATTAAATTATGATATTAGGACTTTTGAATCATGAAATAAGATTGAAAATCAGTGCCCCAATTAATTATTTTGATGCGAAACATTGAAAAGTCTATGGGGTTGTTTAATGGTACACGTCTCATACTTGCAAAAACTGAAAAATATGTTATTGAAGCTCAAGAAATGTCTAAGTCAACTACATGGATAAAAGTATGTATATCTCGTATTGCTATGTGTCCATCTGATTCTAGATTTCCATTTACTATGAAAAGGAGGCAATTTCTTATGATACTGGCTTTTGCAATGACCATTAATAAAAGCCAAGGTTAGAGCCTGTATAATGTCGGTTTGTACTTGCCTCGTTTTGTTTTCACGCACGGCCAGTTATATGTTATTATTTCTCATCTTTGAAACAAGGAATGTTTAAGAATATTGGTTCTTGATATTTTAATGTTTATAGGAAAGTTTTCGATAATTTAGTCTAATTAATTATAAATTTTTATTAATATGCTTATTATATTCATTCACATTGTGTTCATTTAATTTTTACATTGACTTAATATTAATGTGCATATTTAACATTAAAAATAATAATTACATGGCCCCACTATATTCAGGATGATATGAAGTATTAGAGATGACATACTACACGTTATTCTTTTGAAAAAATTTTTTCTACAAAATTAACACTTAATTGTAAAAACTTTAGTTTGTCATAAATGATAGATATTTCACTTATTAAAAAAATTATTATATATAGTCCATGCATCACACAGGTACTTTATTAGTTTTAATATTAAATTAAACTGTTCAAATTAAATTTTTATTTATTAGATTGATAATAAATAAATTTATTAAATTTTTTATAAATTTTCATTTTGATAATATAAATGTAAATTGTTTAAATTAGTGATCAGATTTGTTAGATTTTTTAATAATTTTTATAAATAATTTATTATATTAAATATAAAATAAAAATAAAAAATAAGATATTAAATCTGGACCTTCCATATTAAGCTGGACGGTCCAGATGACACACGTACATGCATCCTCGAGGCAAATAATGAATTTTCTGGACCAACAAATAACGATTTTTTTTTTTTAGTGAATTAATTTTGTCTTACAGTTATCTTCGATTAACCGGACAAAAGCATCAGAGGTGAACTGAATCCATGAGGCTGACCTATCAACTTGCAGTTGAAATTTACGGATTCTAATCGTTTCGGATCCCTCTGCTTCGGTTTCAATAGCCGTCTAGGGTTTTGATGTCGTGTAACTGCTTACTGTGGTCGAGGTATGCTTTTCTATTCTAACATTTGCTTCACTCCATTAATCCATCAACAGGTCTTTCCTCTCCCGTTCTTTTCTTGTGAAACTGCAGTTTCAGAGTGTTCATCCGTTTGTGGTTTGTTTGTTTCCCTCTTGCTGGATTCAGATTGTTTGCTTCTGCAGCCAAAAAAAACACACACACACACACACACACACACACACAAATGTAACACTTAAATGATGTCTCGTGAATGAAAATCTCGTTAAGCACGTATGTCATTGGGTATGTTCTGTTTGGGCTGCAAGAAAACTTGAGATAAAGTAGCCTTTACTGTCGGGGTTTATGTTTACTGCATTAATTATTAAATTATATATTTGTTTTTTTAATGAGATTTTTAGAAGTTATTTTTTTTTATTCTCGTTGACAATCATTTGTTTCTCTTTCTTGATGAATCTATTTGTATAGTTTATTTTATATACTGACTTATAAAATAGGATGGTTACATCTGATAGACTAAAACTGTTAATCAGATTCGAAAAAAATCAAGCTCAATTGGCTGCAAGAATATGCATACTGTTAGGAGTGGTACCTTCTAACTGATATTACTGGAAGTACGTTAAGATGTTATATTAAACACAGGGTCACACTGGAGAATGATGTAACTCATTAAAAAAAGAATAGAAAGAAAATTCAATGCTAAGGAAGTAGTGGTGAGGTTTTTCTTTCGGTCAATTCATCAGAAATTATTGTTAGTCTGATGCTCCCATTATCATTTCTAATGGATCTAATTATTAAATTGAACTTTATTCAAGTTCTGCTGGCCACGTTTGATGAATGCTGTCATGGAGCAAGGCAAGGAAAATGACGCATCATCTCTGATAGAGCAGCTTGGTCGTGCATTTCTTGAACTAGAAGCTCGCAAGGATGCTTTGGAGGGTAACATTCAGTGGGATGAAATTAAGCAGCATTTCCATGGTCTTGAGATTGCTTTGAAGAAGAAACTTGAAGAGCTTGAATCTAAGGAGAGGGATTATGAAAAGAAAGAAGGAGAAGTGCGTACACAGCTTGCAGAGAGAGAGGAAGAGGTTGCTTCTAAAGAACAAGACCTTTTAGATCGGGTGCAGGAGCTAAAAGACACTGCTGTTGCTGCCATTGTAGAGGCTCGTGGAAGTCACCAGGCAACATCATTGGAGTCTGTAGATGAAGGGGAGAACAAAGATAACAAGGTAAGAAGTTCTTTTGGTGATGAAAATTCCCAAGAGGATGATTTTCCGTGTAGATTGGGTGAGAATGAGGTTAAGCCACGTCCAGAGCTGACACATTTTTGTGAGCAAATGGATGCAAGAGGTCTTCTGAATTATATTGTGGACAATAAAAAAAATATTTCTGTCTTTCGTGAAGAACTGTCTATTGCACTTGAAAGTGCAACTGAACCAGCCCACATGGTGCTGGATTCACTGGAGGGGTTTTACCCCACCAATGAAACCACCCAACTAGGAGATAAAATGGATGCTGCCCTTCAGGGCATGCGCAAATCCTTTATTATAATTATGGAAGCCTTGGCCACCTTATTGGCAAGGGCTGAGCCAGATACTGATCACCTTCTGAACCCTCAAACCAAGCAGCAAGCCAAGGCAATTGCTGATGAGTGGAAGCCTAAGTTGGCTAAAGTCACTGATGCTGCCAATAGAAATTCATTGGAGGCAGAGGCATTCTTGCAGCTTCTTGCGACTTTTAGGATTGCCTCAGAGTTTGATGAAGAAGAACTCTGCAAGCTTGTTCTTGCAATTGCTCAACACAGGCGGGCTCCTGAGCTCTGCCGTTCTCTTGGGTTAACTCACAAAGTGCCAGGTTGGTGTTCTTTCAATTAACTGGCCTGTGAAGTCTGCAATGAAGGATTATCCCATCAGATGTCGTCCTTAACACTGGCTCTAGATAACTAGTTTCATTTAGAGTAACGTAGCTAATTAGATTTCCTGAACAAGCATAGACATGTGCAACGTATGCTGATTTAGGTGAAATTTCTACGAGCTAAGAGATGTTAATATGATTGTCAGATGTTGATTTTTTTTCCCCATCCTTTGTTTATGCAGATTTAGTGGAATTACTAATCACTGATGGGAAACAAATCGCAGCTGTACATTTTATTCAAGCCTTCCAGCTTAAGGAAAGATTTGCCCCTGTGCCCCTCTTGAAGGCATACCTTAAGGACCTGAGGAGAAATTCACAAGGAAAGGTCGGAGGTAGCGTTGCTGGTGAGAAGGTATGCTTTGATGGGCAATTGTAGTTTAAAATGATTGAGTGAACGTATGAAGTTCTCTTGTAGTTCTTGTTCCTAATCACTTACTATAAGGTTAAATGTAATTTGTCATTTACATGCAGGATGACGCTAATGCTCAAGAGCTTGCGGCCCTTAAAGCTGTAATCAAGTGCGTCGAAGAATACAACCTTGAATCCGACTACCCACTTGATCCACTTCAGAGGAGAGTTGCTCAGCTAGATAAATTGAAGACAGATAGAAAGAGAGGTGGAGAATCCAGCAAACGTCAGCAACCAAAGAAGCCAAAGGCCAATGGAGGATATTTCACATTCCGTCCATCAGCTGCTGGCAGCGCTGCAGCATCTACCATTTTAGGTAGGCGGCTTCCGCCTGTTAGAGGAGCGTATTCAGGGATTCCGGGCCAGTATCCTCATGCAAGCGCTATTACGTATGGATATGATTATCAAGTTCCTGGCCAATCCATATACTCGCAGCAGGTAAATGACCAAAGATTGCCCTTTTATCCTCATGATGATAGGGTCGCTGCTCCTTCTAATTATGGTAGCTACATGGGTGGTAGCAGTGGTGTCCAATCATCTCACCAACCTTATATGTAATTTCGAGTTTCAAGCTTTGTGCGAACTGGGAAGGAAAGCCAGGAGAGATGGGAGGTTGAGCCTTTGGTTGTTTAACATCTTTCGGCCGTGTGCCTTCTCTGCTCTAACATCTTTCTGGGTTTCTAATGTTTATTTACTTTAGGAAAAATATTTTCTTGGCCTGTGCTTTTATATCTACTCTCATGGTAAGAGATAACGCTGTTATGCCCATAATAGTATGAAGTTAAGAGTGAAAGTTTCCGGTAGGAACTACTGAAGCGTTGGTTTTGGGAGGGGGGGGGGGATCTTAGATATAGGTATTTACTATTTTTCATTTATATTCTACCTATTTAGACAAATTCGAAGACTGGAGTTTAGAATTACATCACCCTTACCTCTCTGTCTCATCTTCTCTTCATCAAGACACTATTTGCTATCATGTTTCACCTATATTTTAATAGAGATACATAATTCATGGACTCTAGCATATTAATAGAGGTATGTGTGTATATAAAGTGTATTTTGATTCTTTAATTTTACATAAAGTTTCAATTTAATTTCTTAATTTTATAAAATATTTTTTTAGTCTTTTAATTCTAGCACTCTTAATTTCAAATAATCTTTTCCATATCAATTATTGTTATTTTAAGAAAGGTCAACTTAATATATCAAAATTTGAAAATAGTTTGTCAATATTTTAAAATTCTTATAAAATTTTTTTATGATGAAATTAATAGTATTAAAATTAAAGGTTTGTATCTTATAAAATTAAAGTACTAAATTAAAACTTTAAGTAAAAGTAAAGGATTAAACGTATATTTTAACTTAAATATCAAATTATAATTTGACAAAGATAATATGATATGAATGTAGTCAAAAAGAAAAATAAAAATTTTAACTATAATCTTGAGGAAGAATTGGTGAAAAATATTTGTTTGGAAAGAAAATTGTACCTAAAAATTAAGCATTAAACTCATAATAATATTAAAAAGATGGAATAAATGAACTAAAATAGCCCTCATCCATTCAACATTGCTCTTCGTTTGCATTCCAAGCTCCCGCCTTCATCTGTTGCCATCCCCTATCACTCACTTCATCGTCTCCAATGTTGGCCTACCATTTTCCACCTACGTGGCTCATCTTTTCACCAAGCTTGCCCATTGTTCATTTTGATTATGTCTTCCCCCAATCTATTTCACTCATTCTTCCTTCAACTATCATTGATTGTGTTTCTCTATCAATTCAACGTCTTTTCCTCATTACTAAACTCCATCCACTGTTGAGTTTCTATAGGATGGGTTTTTTTCAGAGCTGAAAGCCTCTCTCTGTTAGATGCTTTGTTGATTTTTCATCTTTTGCTTTTTATGAACTTCAATTTCGATGCCAAGGTTTTTTGGAAGAATTTAAATAGGAGCAAGAACTATAATTAATAATTAGAAAGGGTTTAGGCACAAGGAAGTGACACTCGAACTTTATGAATCGTGAATACACTAGTATGTTTCGCAAGATGGAATTCAATATGTTTGTGATTATATTGTTGCCACATAATTAGTTGTAAATGTCCCACTAAATAAATATTTAATCCCTAAAATACACCATTTTCAACAAAATTGAGAACATCTTTAAAAGGAATTGCTATTATATGTTGCTTGTATATTCATATTGTATGGATAAGGAGTAGTTTATTGAGTTTTTGGATGTTAATACAAGTGGTACCACACATCATATATACCGTAAAAAAAATTAGATTTAATTAGTTGCTATAATTCCTGTGGATGGGAAGAAAGGACTAGCTGGTGTTTGTATGATTGAGCTTGGACGCATCGTGGGTAAGAATTTTTGTGAATTAGATATGTTTCTTTTTCATCCATGTTATCTTGGTTAATTCATCACATGGGAGTATTTTTTTTTTTCGCTTTTACAAGTGACATTAAATATATTGAGGCTTTAAAACAATTGACCTTTTCTTAGTTATGTAAAGAACATTTGGCAAGTATTTTTGGTTCTTTTTTTTTTCAACTAATTTTGTTGTTTGGTCATCTATTTTTGGGATCTTAATATAACTTTCTTGCTTCATAGTTTCACAATTTTATAAATATTATTGTGTAGTTATTGGCCACTTTTTTGATAGCATTATTCTTTGTTGTTGATTAACCTTCATATGGTTTTGATTCTGGTTCTTAATTGGTTCAACAATCATGATATAATTGTAAACCATATATTTCTAATATAATTGTAAATCATCTATTTTTGATATAATTGTCATATGTTTTTATTGTCTGGAGCAAAACTAAAAGCAAATCGTACAATGGAAATTGCTTTAGCTGACACAATTTATCAAATTGTGTTGAGAAAATATTATTTGATTTACAATATGAAGTTCAAGGTAATGGTTTAGGAACTAAAAAATCTTCTAATATATTGTTTAAACATTAGAAGAATGGTTTGATTATTAAATATAGCCACTTATAAAATTTAGCACTTTGAGGCGTAGTCTATGTAAAATTTCAGTTGTTATTGCACTCTTATTTTCTAGTTTTTATATGAAATCCTAAAAAGTTATTTTACTGCTAAATGTTTCTTGTATTTTTGTACAACTTTTGTTGAAAATTAGGAAAGAAGCAGAAGCAGGATCTTTACCTTCTAATGTTGTTCCTGGAATGGAAGAATTGTACAAGAACTATAAAAGTATAGTATGTACGTTTTTGTTGATCTTGTTTATTCAAATAAATCTGTGCTATATTTCAGATGCCTGGTTTTAAAATATATGTGAGCTTTCCATTTTGTCATATGCATACAAAATACAATCATTTTGTTTGAAATCACTTTATTTTGCAATAAATATAATGTCAATGAAATACTTGACCATGATCTTTTTGACTAAATCATTCCTAACATTATAATTATAATAAAATCATTTGCTAATGTTGGAGATGGATCAAGTTTTGGAATTTCAAATGTTACAACTTATCATGCTTCTCATACTTAAGTGTTTCAAAAATAACAATAATAACTTTTGATGAGACATTTGATGCACGTTTTATATTTTTTTAAACCTTTGCAATTATAATGCAGGATTTTCAAGATGATTATACAAGTGTAAATGATTTTTTTTTAGGATAAGTGTAAAGTCTAAACTAGAGAATTATTTAGATGAATCAATACTCAAGCCTTGTAATTGGATAATGATACTTGGATGATGTTATTATAGATTTGTTGTGGATTTACTTAAATATATTTTTCTAAACTTAATTTTATATCTAATAGTTTTTTATTATAAAAATATTTATTAAGTATTTAATTTTTTTTAAAAAAATACTATGGTTGAGGCTAGCAGGGCCAGCCTTTTAACCTGAAGGGTTAAGGTAGAGTTTCAAAAAATATAATTTTAAAGTATTTTTGGGCATTTTAAATTTAATTTTTTTATGTCCTACTTTTTTAAAAGCAAATTTTATAAGGTCGGGTTAACCTTAACTCATGATTTTATTAAAAAAGGTTGAAAAGTCAAAGTTGGCATGTCACCAAGTGTTATTAGAAAGGGTTGGCAGTTTCCACATCCACACGTGTCTACTTAGTATAGACTCTTGACATTGGTGCAAGTGAACTTGGAGTCATTTTCTTGCTGATGTGTTTTATGGCAAGTGAACTTTGACATTTCGACATGTTTTAGTTATGAGAAAGATATTTCTTGCTGATTAAATGTGAATGAAGATATTTGGACCGACTTTTGATCTATTTTGATAGAGGGTTATAAATCATACAATTATTATTTATATCCCTATAGTATTTTTTTAGTTTTTGCAATGGTTGTTTTTCCATGTGAAAATTGTCCAACTTAACTATAATATTAATGTATTTGTGTGTAATATTTCTTGCTTTATGCGTCAACTTACAATTTAAAACTAAAATTTCATCCCAAACATCTCTCATACCATCGCTTTAGATATATCCTAATTTATTGTTATATACTTTATTTGGGCCACATAAATCTTACCTAAGGGTGTTTAATTTATATCCATCTTAATTAGTCAAATTTTGGTCTTGATCATATCGAGACGAGTCTCGTTCCGACTTAAAAACAATCGAGACGAAATTTTACGAGATGAGATGAGAAAAGGATTCAGGAGAGGACGAGACATAGGATTACCCTGTCCCATCTTGTCCCCTTTTGAATATTATATAATTATATATTATTTTTTATTTTAAAAATATATATTAAATATATCAATTATATATTTATATTAATTATAATTTTAATTCGTGTTATTCTTATTTAAAACTAAAATTTTTTCCCATTAATAATTTTAATGGCACAAAGTAAGCAGTACAAGATAACATCCTTTTTTTTACAATATATTAACCATATTAATACAATTTATTTTTATATCTACCTATTTAATAACTTTTATTTATATTGTATTTTTTGTATTATTTTCAGAAGAGTTACTAGCTTAACATATTTCAACTAAAAAAGAAGAACAATGACTTGATGTTGTATCCGACTTGTCTATTGTTGTTGCTTTTATAATTTAGAAATTACTTGTAATTGCTATTATAAGGTATTGTGTCTCATGCATACTTGACTTTAAGTTATACACTTGTAGTTATGATTGATGTAATTCAATAATTACTATAATTTATGTGCTCATATTGTTTTGATTTTAACCTCACTATGTTATATAATTTAAAATTTTAATTAATAAATGTTATTATTCAGGCATTTCTCTCACATTGTCTACTTTATCTAGACGGCAGAACGTCCCAAACTCATCTCGATCTAATTTTGATTTCTAATAGGATGGAACGATTTTCATGACAAGATGGAACGAGAGACAAAAAATTCAATTCCAATTATTTTTCATTCTAGTCCCATCTTGTAAACACCTATAATCTTACCCAATCAAAAACATAGAGCATTAAGGATATGTTTGGTGTACCTCTTAATTGATTGAGGTTGGAATGGGTAAAAAACTCATTAACATCTTGTTTAGATAACCAAAAAAAAAAAAAAAACTAAACAAGCGGTGGCCTGGTGGGACTCAAATGAGCGTTCATTCTAAAGTAATCAAAGGGAGCTTTCATTCCAACAAGCTGTCAATTTTTTTCTCTCTTTTGTTTATCTTCACCACCTTCGCCTTCCGTGAATTTTTTGTTTCTTTCACACGTTACCTTCCTCTCTCTTCCTTCACATATATGGCTCTTCGCCAACCCACTCAAAGAATCACAGCTTCTTCATCTTTTGAGAATCCACTTAATATCCTCTCTAGCACTCCTTGGTTGGGATCAGATGCAAACAACTTGGGTGCAGTGACAATGCTAAAAATGGAGAGTGATTGTTTCAAAAAACCAATTACAAACTCATTCTTCATAAAGAGAACCAAAAAAAAAAAAAAATCTTAGACAAGCCCAGTGAATAGAAAGGAATAAAACTTGAGTGAATATAGAGAGAAATAAAAGTCGATGGAGAAAGAGGAGAGAAATGCTAGG